GAATTCGTGTGACCCTTCAATTAAATTAATTCATCTATCTTTATGTTTTACCATTTGCAGTTAAATAATTATGCTTAATTCAAATTCATTCCATTTATATTAACATTATTAAATTCAGATCCACTAAAATTACATCTAACAAAATTAGCTCCAATTAAGTTAGTGTCTTTTATCCTAATATTCTCAAAATTTTCTCCCTTCAAATCAACTTTCATTTCAACTAATAACATAAGGCAATTCGAACCACATTAGATGAATTGATTATCTATAGCAGTAAGATGGATTAAAAATTTTAATAGTTCAATTATGTTTAATTGATTGGAAATTTTTATTATTAACTCCTTTCTTATTTCTTTTTTATCATCTGATGAATAATTCGTTTTATTAAAATCATGTTCATGTAGGTTGGTGAGAAGTTAAACAAGATATTTGAAGTTGGTTTGGTTTTTAAGAAATTTTAAAGAATCTATTACTTTTTCAATCTTAAATTATTCCAAAAGTTAAGGAATTACTTTTAGTTCAATCTTGTTTGAAGCTGTTAGGATTTCGTATAAATCTTCTTTCCAGTCATATTTATCTTCATCTTTAGGTGGAGTTTTTAGCTTTATTTTGATAGCTTTTTCTATTGGTGAAAGGAATTCAATATTTCTTTTTATTAACTCAAATTTCACATTTGGAAGCAATGGTATATTAAATTTGGTTGTTTCTCTAAGAGTGGAGGGAAAGTTAAAATTACTGGATATGGCTTCTTCAATCCTATTGTAAGATGCTTCAACTTATTAATCTAAATTGAGGAAGCATTTATCGATTTCATTTTTCCAATTTATCATTGATTGATTCATGGGTTTAACTTACAGGAAAGTTGTTTTTTAAAAAATTATATTAAAATTAAATGAATTTCTATTAAAATTTTTTTTTAAATAGCATAGGTATATTAGTGTATTTATTTTAATTAATTTCTGAAATATATAATAATTATTGGAATTTTTATGTTTGATGTTAAAAAGTGGAGGGATTGGTCCATACTACATGTGTAGCACTTACTGGAAGTTCTCTTTATAATTTCAAGTTTTTTTATTAATAATGTAAGAATTTAGTTCATTAGCTCACTGTGAAGCTAAAATGCAAAATACGCCAATAAATCTAGTAATGTATTAGTTTTTTCTTTCAATATTCTGCTACTGAATGCACATTTCCATCTTTCCCTTCTAAAAATAATGTTTTGTAAGATCATTATAAACAATTCATGATGAGATTCTAAAGATAATTTAGTATTTTGACATTTTATAAAAATTTCATTTTCTTATATTATGTTAAACACCCTATAGAAATCCTAAGGATGATAGAATATTTAACTTTTATGCATCTTTACTCTATAATACAGGAATTTGTCAAAACGCTAAATAATAAAATAATGATATTGGATGATTGCAATGCATATTTTCCTTTATATCGATTATACTGTTATTTTAGTGAGCTTGCACTGTTATTAAGAACCTTATAATAGATTTATTAGTGATGACTTTAAAATTAAGTTCTTTTCATCTAGAATGTAGTCTAATAAATCTATAGAAAAGGGACCAACTGAGACAGAAATAGAGCCTAAATGTATGAGTATCAATAAAAGTATCAAAGAAATAATACCAAGTGTCAGCTAGGATTAAGTAGCACTATTGGCATCCATATTAAATCAAAAAATCAAAGGAGGAAAAATAAGTTAAATTGAAAGAGACTCTTTTTCAATTAATGAAATTTACTCGATAAACAATTTCCATAAACACAATAATAATTAACAACGTATAATTTTAACCTTCTCCAGTTAAACCTATACTAATAGTAGCATAGTTAATACAATATTCAAGTGTAATAACAAAATAGAGCGATATTTGTGAAAAGAATTAAATTATACTTTCAAAGGGAAACCTAATGGATATTCAAATATATTTGAAACTCATACCTCAAGTATAAAAGCAGAAAGTAAAGAATGTGAAGTGAGGGTGCTCATATTGTCAAAAAATATCAAATATATAATTAGCTGGAAAATAAGTCATTTATCAATTGCTTTAGATTTTTGTGGAAGTTGATATTGCCTATTATTAAATAATTCGTACATTTATATATAAAGAATCTATAAATCCATAAAATTACTAAATTTGCATTAATTTCATATCTACGAATATAATTTTAAATCTCAATTTATTTTCAATTTCTCTATCATGTTTCTATTTCATGTTAAAATATTTCATTAGTTTTATAATGGATAGGCTGATGATTAGTAAACACACAAACCTTTTTGAGTGTTTGTACAATTTATATAAAATCTGCATACCAATTACATTCAATGTCTTAACTCTATCTATCAAATAAATTTTGAATGAATGCCCAGATTCAAAATGAGCTAATTTCAATACTAAAAATCTCAAAATTATAACTGGTCAATTCACAACTGATGGAACTGAATTTTTCTCTCTGTGATGCTGTTCAAGTTACACCTAATTAGGATTCTACTTGATTGTATTAGATATTCTAATTTTTGTTTGATAACGTAGAAGAAGAACTTGATCAATGACTTAAAATTTTACTTGTAATGTAATTATTCCTACAATTAAATCAATTAATAAAGAGATGTGCATTAACATCTAATTAAGCACTTAATAACCAAATCAGACTAGCAAGATGTTTAAATAATCCAAAGATAAGGTAAAAAGAAAATGATTTATATCTGGTCACATTTTTATTGCTTATTTCTTGTACTAATAAAAATCAATAATTGGCTAGGCACATTCAATCTGATTTGCTCAATAAGTATTCCCAATTCACTTTTTCAAAAACCACTTCCTATTATTCCACTAGTAAATTGGTTTTTAACTTTTATAAATTTAAGTGCTCTGATATGAATGATCCATCCAAGTTTCATCGTTTGAACTTTAAAGTTATTATCCTTTTTAATTTATTCTCTTAGATGGATGAGATTAGAGCTCATGAGGAGTAATTTGAATAGGGGAAGATTTGAAGAAATAAGTAATTATCATATCAAAGACCATCAATGCTTACTACATTATCAATATGGCAAAACTCTACTATGCTACAAAAATTCCTCCCTTTCTTACACCTATTACATCTCTCAGTTATCTTTACCTCGATTTTCTCTATAATGAAACTTTATTTTACATCCACACTTTTGATCCTTAATGGCATAATGTCCTCCTTTCAATTATTTTACTACAAACCACCTATATATCATTTACAAAATTTGAATCTTTCGTACTGTAGAAATTTGGTTAATTATGATTTTCGGTTTCGTCTCTACTGAGATCAAGGATAGATATTGATATAAATTTTGGAATAAATTTCTTAGAACATTTGGAAATCGCGATTATTTCATTACACACCAGACAAGGGACAAATTAACTTTGCATTCTATATTACTCTCAATTTTGAAATTAGTCTTGAAAAGTCTTTACATTGGTCGAGTTACTTTAATAACTCTAACTTCTTTATAAAAGAGGAAAAATAAATTAAAAGATATTCTTAATATTAAAATAACTTTGGGTTATGATTTAGGGATATTGAGACTAAAGGCCAGTTATTAATCATTACTAGCATTAAATGATAGTTAGAAAAAATTTTTTATTGAAGTAAAATAATTGAAACAGTTTAAATAAGCTAGCAATACTTATGGAAAGCAATTAGTATTGTAAATTATTTACAACTTAAATCTAATTTAAATGTCAACTACGTTATCCGTGAGGATTTGAGAAAAAGAACATTAATTGAATTTTTTATTCATTAATCTAAAGCAATATCTCAGTAAAAAGTATTAATTGAAAATCTGAAACTTAGTTGCATTACAATTACAATTTTAAGTTGTATACATAAAATATATTTGATTGCAGTAGATTTCTATAATAAGGATGGAGAAACTAGGGTAATGGTTAAATTATTAATAAATTTCATAAGTAAATAACTTCTTAATCCAGCTCTCCACAAAAAATCACTCATGTTTAGGAAGATTTTATATTAGATAAAGCCAAACGACCAGAATCTTAAGAGGAAGAGAGAATTGGATTTGAAGTGAAGAAAAATGTTCCCTTTGTATGTTCGTTTCATCGAGCTAGACTAAGAAAATTGAACTAGAGAAAAATTACATAAGCAAAGAAAAGGTTGAATAAATCGTCAACATTGATTGACCATTAAAGAAGGAACTTTAAAACATAGTTGATAGTAGAAAGAGTTTTTTTATTTACTAAATGATATTGCCTTAGAAGCGATGGAAAAAGTTAGATTACTAAGTAGGAAGATAAAAATTGAATAATTGCAACTATTAAAATTAAAAAGGATTTTTAAGGAATCATGTATTTTCATGAAATTGTCAATATATAATTTCAACTTTAACTATTATTTAGTTATAAGCATAAAATCAATTGTTAAGAATTATTAAGCTTCAATCCTGGCCGTAACATAGAGATAGAGAAGTTATACTATACTATACTATTACTTTGAGAATTTGTGCTAACTACTACTATTTTCAAAATATTTACTCTAACATAACCTTTTATTTAAATCATCATATGATAATTTTTATTGCTAATTTAAACTTGTCACACTTCTTAGAAACATAAATGGAATTAGCCCAAATATCTAACATAATGATAAATTTTCTAGAGGTAATTCTTTTATCTTTGAAGTCTAGTTAGGTTAGTTATTGAAACAATTGGATAGAAAATTTGAAATTTTTCCAAAGTGTTCTGTTATTAATTTTAGTTAGAGGATAAGATTTAGATTTTTTCTAGAATTTTTCATTATTATTATATTGTTACAAATGTTGAATATTGTTAATCCTCTTTTTTCAGTCTTCAACATAAATCTCACTTCTTTAATTTTTGTTTTAGGGCAGTTCTAGGCTGATAAGTTTATGATCAAACTGATAGTACTGCAATGCATAAATTTAACTTAGCCAATAATCTATTATATTTCGATCTTGGAATTATTTGTTATTAACCTTTTGATTTTATTTAGCTTCTAGCCTTAGTATCTACAAGATGTTTATGCATTTTGGTGGTATATTCAATTGACTCCTTTTGACCTATCTATTGTTCATTCTCCTATATCATTTCTTCCTATTAAAGCACTTTTCCTGATCTAACTATGTTCTTCAATCCTAGAGTTATTCATTTGTTACTTCAAAATACACTAAGACGAGATTATCTTACTACGGTATTCGGAAACGCGATTGAGTTGAGTAGACATCCTAGGAAGGATATGAATTCATAGGATAAATCATAACCGAAAGATTCTATAAGCAAATTAGCTGTCGTAAGGGTAGTTTCGAAGCCAATATTGAATTATTGTATTATATTTTGCTTTAAAATAACTTAAACTGAAAGTATTAAAATATCATTTTTTATTTTCAGCACATACCCTTTTTTAGACATATTTTAAGCAAAACTCATGTTGTGTAGTCACGCTATTTTGAAGTTAATAGAATTTTCAAACAAAATGCTTGCTTAAAAAAGGGAAAATTTTCTTATTAAATTCTTATAGGTGTGTTTCTCATTGTTGGAAAATATTAATCCTCTAGAATAAAATCAAAGCATTTTATCCAAATTTATTCACTTTTCAAACAAAAAGCGTTATAATTAAACAATAACGACAGCCAAGAGCTATTTTAAGAAATAATTTAATTAAAGGATTACAACCTCAAAATTAAATCTAAAGAAATACAAAGTATTTTTAATTCAATTTCAGTTATAAACTTGAGTACTTCTTTCAATAAGGCTAAGAACTATTAACTAAAACATTACTATAGACTAGTTAA